TTTGAAACAAATACTACTTTTGATTTAAGATATTGCAGAAAGCATTTTTTAACACGAAAGTGTGTGTTTTATGAGGTGTTGATATCTCTATTCACAGCCTGATAGGAAATTCAACTTATTTTTTCTACAGAGGTACATATCGGTAAAAATTAGTTGATGAATATAACGTGAGTGCCATTTTATATAATGTTTTAACTACCCAGTAATCTTAACATTTTAGGGAAATGTTTTAATTAATCTAATGTTTTATTGAATTTGAGGTACTTTGACTTTAAATTTACTATAGTTACTATTCTTATTTTCTGATAATGTTGTGCATGAATGTCTGTATTTACAAAAATTGGCATGTTTATACATGCACAAATAATTCTTTTTAAAATGCCAGGGGTGGGAGTGGTCACCAAATTGTATTAATCTTTTCCATTTATTATTAGCAAATACAGTTTTTACTTAAAAACAGTATCACCTAACTGGATTTTAAAAATATTTTAAATACAGGATTTTAAAAGATTTAAAACTTTATAAATTATTCTAATTAAAATTTTTAAAAAAATTAACACTAAATGATGTTTTAGGAGAATGGAAAAAAATACAATAGGCTCATACATCACAACGAAAACAAATACATTAAAAGAGGAAGAAAAAAACTTTTTCTTTGTTGTTTTTTTAATGTTTATTTTTACTACAATAATTAAAGAGTGTAGCTCCAGAAAAATATTTGCAGAATACACTCTCTGAGCAGCAATTTCATTATGTTAACCTTTTGGCCTCCTTCACACAACTAGCATATATCTCCTATGATTATATTCATTATGAGTTAAATAGTAGGACTTTTATCTTGTTATTTATGTTGTTGTCAAAAAAATTTTAATGCTACATTGACTCACAAAAAAAGAAATTATTCTTACAATCCAAAATATGTTTTGGCTTTTGAGTAATCCACAAAAGGTTGATGAGCCATAAAAAAACCTCAATCTTCAGTGAATGAGCTCAATAGTCCAAGCAACTTTATTTTTTTTACAATGATGTTTACCCTGTACAAGGCCCTTGTGCCTCTCAAGGTAGTGAGTTGTACAGTAAGAGGTACAGCTTATGCGTGACAGATAACAGCCCGAGACTTGAACAGTTTAAGATTACAGTGATTAGAGAAGTGTCATTTTGAGATTTGGCTCCACAATGTAGTGGTTCATGGGAAGAAGCTGTCAGAGTGGAACTTAATCCCACCAAATGATTATGAAGGGAATGAAGGTGGATTGTGCCAATGTGCATGGCATAGCAGGTCTTAGCTGTAAAAGTTAGGATAGGTGGAACTAAGGAGGGTAGCTCATCTGAACAGTTTCCATGGAAATAGTGATAAAGCAACAGGAGGCTTGCAATGTCACGTCTATGAAGAAGGGGTTGTGGGTAGAGGAATAATTCATCACCCACAAGGACATGGAGAAACTTGTGGACTCACTTGGAATGTTAATGACCAATATCTGTTGTCTACACTTGCTTTACTTTTGAGAAGAGTTGTTAATAATGATTGAACTTTTTCTTTTTGTTAGATATTTTCACATCATTTCAGTTGATCCATTCTTTAGGTAGACAATCCAGATGGAAAGAGAAGAGGGATTTCTTTCTTTTTTTCTGTTTTTATGGAATAAAAACAATATAAGACAAAGAATAAGACAAAGAAAACATTCTTGCCACCAGAACAATTACTTCTTGAAAATCCAGAAAGTATCTCATTCATTTTTGGTTTCATTTTCTTGTCATTAAATTTTCTCTGTTTTTGTATCAATGTTGTAATATAGGGAAGGTTACTGAATAGAAAAATCAAACAAAGGTTGGTAATGAATGATGATACTTAGGACAAGAACAACACATATAAGATTCACCAGCAGCGCATAGAAATTGTTGACTTCTAGAAGTGAGTCACATGAATTCCACAATGAATCTCCAATGACAGACCAATATACAGTATCATCCATAAGTATGCTACAACAATCAATATCTGTTTGTTTTCTTTTTTTTCTTTCAGAAAAGATCTGATGATGAAGAAAAGGAGAAGGAAGACAATGAAGCAAAAAAAAAAGATGGGAAGATGGGGAGTCAGGAAGATGAGGAAGATATTGAAGACGGCCACGCCTTTTTGATTCTAAGCAAAAGGGATTCAAGTATGGTAAATTCTTTTTCTTTTTATTCTAGTCAGCATCAGTTCCTCTCTGAACATATCCAACTGTCCCCTTTCTTTAGGGCAGGCATGGGTAGCCTTTTATAAGCAGTGGGCTACGTGAGATATGGCTCACCATAAAGCAGGCTGCACTACTAAAAAATAAATATTGATTTTTCTTTGCAGGTAACTCAACCATTATCACTACAGAAGCCCATATTTATAAGCATCTGCTTTAAAAATGGGGAAAAAAATTTAAGTTTTTTTTTCTTTGGAGGAAAGATTTTTTTTTCTTTAATTAAAAGATGTGATTTGTTTCTAATTTATTTATTTATTTGACTATAC